GGTCTCGCCAGGCATCCTTGTGTGAGTGACATTGTCTTTAAACCCTGCATGGCAATCACTGATGCACCGCCGTGATGCCCAGGGAAGACAGGGCGACCTGGAAGTCCAACTACTTCCTTAAGATCATCCAACTTTTGGATGACTACCCAAAATGCTTCACTGTGGGAGCAGACAATGTGAGCTCCAAGCAGATGCAGCAGATCCGCATGTCCCTCCGAGGGAAGGCTGTGGTGCTGATGGCTAAGAACACCATGGTGCACACGGCCATCCGAGGGCATCTGGAAAACAACCCAGCTCTGGAGAAACTGTTCCCTCATATCTGGGGGAATGTAGGCTTCGTGTTCACCAAGGAGGACCTCACTGAGATCTGGGACACGCTGCTGGCCAACAAGTTGCCAGCTGCTGCCGTGCTGGTGCGATTGTCGCATGTGAAGTCACTGTACCAGCCCAGAACACTGGTCTGGGGCCTGAGAAGACCTCCTTCTTCCAGGCTTTAGGTATCACCACTAAAATCTCCAGAGGCACCATTGAAATCCTGAGTGATGTGCAGTTGATTAAGACAGGAGACAAGCTGGGCTCGGTGGCTAAGCCTGTAATCCTGTGCCTTTGGGAGGCTGAGGTGAGTGGAATGCCTGAGCCCGCGGGTTCGAGACCCGCCTGGGCAACTTGGCGAGACCGCATCTCTACAATAAATCAAAAATGAGCCGGGCGTGGTAGCGCGTGCCTGTAGTCCCAGCTACTTGGAAGGCTGAGGCGGAAGGATCGCTGGAGCCCAGCTCTGCGGTGGCTGGGAGCAGCCACTGCACTCCAGTCTGGGTGACAGAGTGAGACTCCAACTCAAAAAAAAAAAAAGACTGGAGACAAAGTGGGAGCCAGTGAAACCACACTGCTGAATATGCCGAACATCTCACGTTCTCCTTTGGGCTGATCATCCAGCAGGTGTTCGACAACCACGGCAGCATCTACAACCTTGAAGTGCCTCTCATCACAGAGGAAACTGCACTCTCGTTTCCTGGAGGGTGTCCGCAATGTTGCCAGTGTTTGTCTGCAGATTGGTTATTCAACTGTTGCATCAGTACCCCATTCTATTATCAGTGGGTACAAAAGAGTCTGGCTTTGTCTGTGGAGACTGAATACACCTTCCCACTTGCCAAAAAGGTCAAGGCCTTCTTGTCTGATCCATCTGCCTTTGTGGCTGCTGCCCCTGCTGCCCCTGCCGCCCCTGCAGCTCCGGCCAAGGTTAAAGCCAAGGAAGAGTCGGAGGAGTCGGAGGAGGATATGGGATTTGGTCTCTGACTAATCAGCAGAAAGCAACCAACTCAGCCAGCTTTATTTGCAAAACAAGGAAATAAAGGCTACTTCTCTTAAAAAAAAAAAGTGGCTTTATGCTGTTATAACAGATCATTTGCTTGCTCAGCAGAGAGAATAATTGAATAAGGGTGCTGACAGCAAGACATGTGGACATTTCTGTACTACTTCAGGCACTTGTTCTATCACAATTTCATCTTATGATACTTTTATAGACCTATAACAATACCTTGATGTTTTCTACATTTGTAAAAAATTGTGCATTTTTTTGCCTGATGAATCAGTGTCTGTGAATGTCCCTATGTGTGTATTTCCCTGTGAAAAACTCTATTCCCACTGTCTACCCATGGCTTGGTCAATTTTGATAATGTCTTAACCTTGGCACTAGTGATGTTTGGGCCAACATATTCCCTGTGATGAGGTGTCTCCTGTACATTGCAGGGTGCTTGGCAGCATACCCAGCCTCTACCCACTAGAGGCCAGTAGCACTTCCCAGTTGTGACAATTAACAGTCTCTGGACAAAGCTAAATGTCTCCTGAGGAGCAGAACCACATCCACTTGAAGACTAACAGCATAGCAAAGGGAGGGTAGCATTAAAAAACAATGAAATAAAATAGAAAAGGGCTGGGTAGGGTCCTCATACCTGAAGTCTCAGCTACTCAGGAGGCTGAGGAGGGAGGCTCACTTGAGCTCAGGAGTTAGACCCTGCAGTGAGCTAGGATTGAGCCATTGCATTCCAGCCTGGTGACAGAATGAGACCTTGACTCTAAAAAAAAATAATGATAATAAAATATAATAGGATAGGATTTAAAAAATCCAAATGTCAACCATAGTAAAGTCTTGTTTAATGAAACTTTTATGCAGTTAATAATACACATATTTATATATTCTGGATCATGTGATAATTTTAAAAAACTTTTTGTATTGACATAGCATCAGACTTTCAGAAAATTTGCGGAAAGAGCACAAAGAATTCCAATATATTAATTTTTCCCCAGATATTAATTTTTCCATGACAGTAACAGTGATTTATTGCCTGTGTTGTCCTTTCCACAGTGGGCCACTCATGCCATACTTTGTGCTTTATGACAATTTGCATAATACATTCATTTTTGAAAAGTTATCCTGAGAATTTCTGAAGATGAAAAGTCTTTAAAAATTATTGTTTTATTATTATGTAATCACCGCTTCATTTAGAATCTCTGTGTTTTTTTCTGTCATCAACTTGATTTTATCTTTATTTCTTTTTTTTTTTTTTTTCTTTTTGAGTTGGAGTCTCACTCTGTCACCCAGACTGTAGTGCAGTGGCCACTCCCGGCCACCGCAGCCTCGACCTGCTGGGCTCCGGCGATCCTTCCGCCTCAGCCTTCCAAGTAGCTGGAACTACAGGCACGCTACCACACCCAGCTAATTTTTTATTTATTGTAGAGATGAGGTCTCACCAAGTTGCCCAGGCGGATCTCGAACCTGTGGGCTCAGGCAATCCACTCACCTCGGCCTCCCAAATCCCACCAAGCCCGGCCTATCTTTATTTCTTTTAACAGGTTTTGGTATTCCCACTCTGTTGTAGCATTAATTAACATTAACCTGAGACAAAAATGTTTCCCCAGTTTTAGAAGTCGCTTGTGTTGGTTTTGAAGTCTTTTCCTTAGTTCTGATTTGTATGAACCTATACCTGTATTTTTGTGTTTGCTGTGTAGTACTGCTCTGTCAATTAGCTAATTTTTTAAAAGAATCAACTGTTGGTGTAGCAAGCATTTTGACTAAAGTTGAAATACTTCACAGATCTTTCTTGTTTTCCACTTTATTTTTATCCTGAGCTTTTTTCCTATTCTACTGTCATTGAGTTTAGTTTGTTTTGCCTTTTCTTTAGTATCATAGGAACGTTGAACTCTTTTGTCTCATTTCCAATTTTACTTTTTTTCAGATTTAAAAAAATATTTGTTATACTCTAGGTTTCTTAAGTTTTCCTATATAGCATTGAAGAGACTTTAAAAAGATTTTCATGAAGTAGGACACATTTCAATTTATCTGTCTGTATTTGTTTCTAACAAATTTTTTTCAAGGTCATTTTCTGTAGAATTTTTCTTAATTTGCCTTGAGAGTGTCAGAATGCTGGCAGAAAAAGCTTGACTGCATTATGGAATCAGTCCAGTGTTCACATAATAGACCTTTGGTTAAATTTGATCTAATAAATTTTAATTATCCCACAAAGTGTTCTTTTAAAAATTAGAACTTATTCACCTTTTGCCGTCATGAGAGAGCACGTATAAATCCAGAACATGCTTCTTTCACCCACTCAGCATCTCTCCCTGTCCACTGCTCTCAGTGTAGAAAAACAGTAAGATGTACCAGCCTCAGTGGGTGTCTCCAAGCTCCCCAACTTGGCAGAGAGCTGCAGACACCTGACCTCCATGACCTAATAGGGATGTAATGAGGTCTACCTCCTCATCTCCCTACTTCACCCTCTACCTTGGTTTCAAACCTCTAAAATACTGGGTTCATTCCTTGCAGTTCTAAGAAAGTGTTAGCTAATTTCCAAAGGAAATGTTACCTTCTTCAGTGCAACAACCTGCCCTGATCAATTCATTTATTTTTTAAGGTCTTTCTTTAGATATCACGTATTCATTTTCTCTTGTAGGATCCCTCCACAGCAGGACAGGGGGCTGGTCTCTCTGAGGACACGTTCCTCCACCCTTACACACAGTCCCAGTGTGACCACTGCCTTCATGGTCACTTGTCCGGGTCGATGTCTGGTTCATCTAGCTGGCTGGCAAGACTTTTTTGGGGAGGACACATACCCTTCCCCTTCTTGTGGGGTCTGGTTCTTGGATTTAGATTCATATGATATCAAAATATTAATCGGCAAATTCACGGAATTCTTAGCAAGATGCCCACAGGGCTCTGACCCCAAGGGCCCCTAAAGGAAACACAGAGACCACATCATCTTTGCTCTGGCCCTTTCCCTGGGGTCGCTCCCATCCCGCTGGTACTGTTCCTATGCCCCCGTGGCGATGGGGATTGTAACGCCTCCGAGGAATTTTCGGGCAGTAGGGACCTGCTCTTCCCGTGATAGGTGCTGAGTGACACCCTCCGGTTGGGAGCCCCACCTTGTGTCCTGACCCCGCCAGCCAGAGCCTCCCAGAGCCCGCGGGGACGCGGCAGGAGAGAGGTGAAGGCTGAGCAAAACCAGGAGGGGAGAGTAAGGGAGAAGTGCTTTGGTCTTTTAGCATCTGGCCTGTGTCCCAGGGGCACAGCCAAGTCTCTGTGGGGTCTGGATGGGGGCGGGGCTGGGGAAGCAGACGACCCTGAGCCCTGCCTTGGGTTTCTGGGCGCCCAGACCTCGCTCCCTGAAACCTCTGGCCTGGCAGGCTGCGGAGTACCTCCCTCCTTCCCGCCAGTGGGGCGGAGGCGACTGCTCCTGCCTTTCAATCTCTGCAAATCCTCTCCGGCCAGGGGGAAGTGATATTGTTCACCAGTCGCGGGCAGAGGGCCTGGGGGGGGGGCACTACCACCAGGCCCCGTCCAAAGCCCCTCCCCAGCATCCCCAGGAACCGGGATAGAGTTACAGACAAGCCCCGCTGAGTCCTGGCCACTGCATCCAGAGCAACTGCACCGTGCCCGTGACACTGGGGTACTGAGACATCCGCGGGTTGGCCCACGCCATCCGCCTGCTCCTGGAATACACAGACTCAAGCTATGAGGAAAAGATGTACTCCATGGGGGTTGGTAAGGTCACCTTCTTGTCTCACCCTCTGCTCTCTTGTGCTGAGTTGGTCCCAAGCAACCCCTGTGTGGCAACCTGCTACTGCCTCTGCAGACCTCCACCTGCTGGGGCTGCAGCCAGCCTCATCCCTAAACCACCTGGAGGGTCCAGGTTGGCCCTCCAAGGAAGGTCACTGGCAGGGGATTGCCGGGTCCCCATATGGATAACTGGGATGTATTCCCTCTAGGGCCTGCCTAAATCTTTGCAAGTCTCATCGTGTGGGGTCTAGAACTCTTCCAGGAATTCTTCTCCCCAACCTTGGAACACAAAACAGGGAGGCGGATTCTGGGTCCACCGGTCCCAGAGGTCTTGCCAGTGAGTCCTTGGGAGGGTCCCAGGAAGGAGGATGGGACTCTGGGAGGTCTGTTTTCACCTCCTCTTTTCCACCACAGCTCCCGACTGTGACAGAAGCCAGTGGCTGAATGAAAAATTCATGCTGGGCCTGGACTTTCCCAATGTAGGTGCAGGGGCGGGAGCAGTTTTTGGGAAAGTTGAGGTGTCTCTAACTGCATGTCCTGTCCCCAGCCTAGAGGTTCTAGGTCAGGGGCCTTCTGCCTTCTACTCTCATGTCTGGTTGCTACACTGCCTTTCCATGATGTTCTATGTCCCAGCTCATTCACCTACTATTTTTGAGTATTCTTACTTAGAGCCTAGCATAGGCAGGTACTATGAGTGCCAGTTGTCACCTGTGCCGTGGCTTAAGGGAAGAGAGTGCTGAGGAGCCTGGCGGCCAGAATGACTTTGCTGCTTGCCCGTCAGCTGCCCTACTTAATCGACGGGGCTCACAAGATCACCCAGAGCAACGCCATCCTGCGCTACCTTGCCCGCAAGCACAAGATGTGTGAGTGGGGCTGGCTGCGGTGGGGGGACAGTGGCCTTCTCCTGGACTTGGCTGGGAGGGGAGGCTGAAGACAAGTCTCTGTTGTGTGTGTGGCAGGTGGGGAGAAAAGAGGAGAAGATTCGTGTGGACATGTTGGAAAACCAGGCTATGGACACCCGCATGCAGCTGGCTATTGTCAGCTACAGTCCGGATTTTGTGAGTCGACTTTCTCTGCCACAGACTGGGCCCGCAGGGTTTGAATTCGGCACCAGGACCCTTGCACTCCTGTCTATACCGGTCCTTTCTCCTTCTGACCTCCCCAGTGCTCCTCATCCTTGGAGTGGTTTCCTGTGCAGCCACCAGTTATTCGCATAACTCCAATGGCTTGTCAATTAAGACTCTGAATCAATTCTCACCAATCTTAGGTACCTCAGGGTGGAAACTCAATTCCTAGATGGTGAAGCTTGTGTTCAGAATCCCCTCCATTCTTGGCCTCTGACCTCTGACACGGTTCATGTCTCCTGGCTGGTTCACACCTCCTGCTCAGTCCTGGAATACACAATTCAAACTATGAGCAAAACACATAAAAGATGGGGCAACGGAACAGCACCCACATATTTGGAATTCTGCTTACCCCGTTCCTCATGGGAAGCATGAGGAACGGGGTAAGCAGAGGGATCAGCACATTTTAAAGATAAGCAGCTCAGGGTCAGCCAAAGGGCCTTGTTCCTCTTCCTCCTTCCATTCAGCTTCTCAAAATCTCCTTATCTTTCCAGAAACTACTCAAATGTCCATTCCAGTTCTCTGCCACCCACCAGATGGGCCTTGTGACCTGAGCTCTTTTAGTTCTTTGAAACTATGATTCTGCCTAATGTTGACTCCAGAGACTGCCAGGTTCTCAGGCGCTCCTGTGTCTGCCCATAGGAGGGGTGTGTGGAGATCAGCGGTGACAGATTCAGGGACAGCTTCATAATGAACTCAGATAGGGCCTAGTACCCAGTAGGAGTCTAATAAATGCTGATGTATGAAGTAGAAGCCTGGGCACTGACCCAGACCCAGTTGCAGGGAAGATGGCTGCTGTTCCATGGCCAGCTGGGACCCTGCACTGCCCTGGAAGGCCTGCCTCGGTGCAGGGAGCTTGGCTGAGATAGTGACAGCTGTTTTCCACTTTAGGAGAAACTAAAGCCAGAGTACCTGGAGGGACTCCCTGAAAAGATCAAGCTCTACTCACAGTTCCTGGGGAAGCGACCTTGGTTTGCAGGGGACAAGGTAAAGGGGAAGTGCCATGGGGACTGTGAGCTGTCATCCTTCCTGTGTTACGGACGATCCAGCCAACTTATCCTTGGCTTTGCAGATCACCTTTGTGGATTTCCTTGTATATGATGTCCTTGACCAGAACCGTATATTTGAGCCGAAGTGCCTGGACGCGTTTCCAAACCTGAAGGACTTCATGTCCCGCTTTGAGGTGATGCCGCTTATCCTCCTTGTTCTTGGCTGTTCCTTTTCCCTTCTCTGTGATGCATTCCCAGTTGGAGCTAAAATGAAGAATGACAGGCATTTATTGAATACTGTCTTTATGCTCAGCATATTACATGTAGCGTGTCCAATTTAATTCTAACAACATTCCTACAGAATTAGAATTCTCCTTCCCATTTTACCGAAAAGGAAGCTGAGAATGCATGAGAAGGTCATTTGCTGCAGTCCCAGAGCCGGCGAGGCTGTGCTGGCCTCCCTGTCAGCCTCTGGATCTATGGGTAGCAGTCAGGGCTCTCCCTGTTTGATGCCAAAAGGAAAGGCCTCAGGTCTTGTCAAGCCTGGGTTTCACCCAGGATACTATGAAAGTCATAGAACATTTCAGGTGTGTGTACGCAGCTGGCATTATCGATTGACACAAGGTAGGACTGATGCTGAGCTCCAAATACACAGGCGCCCCATAAGAGGGTTGTTTGGAGATCAGACGACAGTATTCTTAGCTGATCCCCAGAGTGTTCTTTACCATTCGAACTCTCATCGGGGGAATTCTGAGACCCAGGGCTGTGGTTGGAGCTGCCTTGGGTACATGTGTGGTTGCCCTGCTGAAGGACTTTGACTGGGAGTGTTCTAGGTGGGGCACGTTCCTTCCCTGCGCCTCTTCCTCTCCTTCCCTCCAATATTCCAAGGCTGTGAGGTGGGGTCGATCATTGACTTTAGCTCACATACGCTGATCTTCTCCTCTGCTGAGGCCCGTGTCAGGCAAAGTGGGAGATGGAAGGATGACCCCCGTCCTGGGGTGAGTGCAGTTAGGGAACTGTAGGCACCAGTCTGCGGGGAGTGTGTGGTACCAGCTGGGGACTGGGAGCACAGCCGAGACCCCACCTCTTGACTAATCACCTGACACATGCAGTCAACGTGTTTGATAGCAGCAATAGCTGCTTCAGTCCAGATGTGGAGGTTTGAGGCGTGAGTCCTACAGGTGTCTGAGCCTGGAATCTGTTCTCCTTGCCCACTCCCCACAAGAGATCTGCTTTCTCAGCTAGTTCTCATCAGCTCTGGTTCTGGTCCAGGCCGAGTGGTCTTGGGGTTATGTAAGAGGAGGAGAAGGAGAGGGGTGAGCTGAGGGCTGCAACCTGTGACCTGCCTGGGCCTGGCCCTTTACCAGGCAACCTGGGTCTCTTTTGAACTGTTGATGTTTTCTGGGTACTTTATTCTGGTGAGATCGCGCACAACACACCTGGGTGTCATATTGCCTGGTCCCCTGGGGATGAGGTATGTTGGGGCCTAGTGAGATGTGGCTCATGTACCAGGTGGAGAACTTTGGACTTTCTGCTTTCAGGGGAGTGATGGTTAGAGCTTGACCTGTCCTTTCTTTTGTGGGTTCGTCGCCCCCTACACATATTCAGTCATCGGGTGAGACCTGGTGTCTCTTCCAGGCTGCACAGGCTTGTTCTGAGCCCCTGGGTCCTGCTAGAGGTTCCTCCTCTGTATGCAAACCCAGGCAAGCCAGGCACCTCCCTGTGACAAAGGAGAATGTTTGTGCAGACAGGGAATGAAAGGACCTTCTGAGGGGGTGGAGAGAAGAGGAGAATTTGGCAAAAAGAGCCAGAACTGGAGAGAGACAGAGCCAGGCTGTATCCAGCCCTGACCCACTTCGTAGCTTTGTGAAATTGTGTGTGCCTCTGTTTTTCTTGTGAGAAATAGTGATTGTAGAACTGATTTTGCTGCGTTGCTGGGTGGGCTTTTTAAGCCTGGATTTTAATTGCTCTTGGGTCTAGAGCACCAAGCATTTGCAGAATCTCCATTAGTGTCAGTTCTGATTCAGGTGTGGCATTAGTTAAGGGACATCGGGAGAGTTAAGCCAGAAGATCTGAGAACCCTGAGAGATTGTGATGCTCCATCCCTTGATCCCACGTGGAAAGGCTGCCATTTGGTTCCTGACCTGTGGTGCCTGCAGTGGGATTGCTCTGCCCCTATAGGCAGCAGACCCAGAGCGCTGGCTTCCTTTCTCCCTTCTCAGGGCTTAAAGAAGATCTCTGCCTACATGAAGTCCAGCTGCTTCCTCCCAACGCCTCTGTACACAAAGATGGCCATCTGGGGCCACAAGTAGAGCCTGGTAAGGCCAGAAGATGAGAGTGAGGACACTACTGAGCCTGCTGTCTGGGGCCCCGGAGGACAACTGGACACTCTGTACCCAGGAGCTACCTTCTCGGTCCTTCTTCCTTTTCATTTCCTTCTCATCCTCAAGGCCTTAGTGATCCTCTTTACTTCCCTCAAACCTCTCTCCTGTCCAGATCCTTTAAAATCTCAGGCTTCCCAGTCCTTCGGCAATGGCCCTCTCAAGGTTCCCTTTCCTGCCCTCAGGCAAACCTGACCTGCTGACCTGTGAGTGGTTGTGTCTGCTTTGAGGAGCCCAACGGGTCCCCTTTCCTGTGGAGGTCAACCCCGAGCTGTCCCAGCACTGCAGGAAAGAGCCGTGTTGACTATGGGCAGGCCCTGCTCCCTCAACATGTTGCCTGCCCTAGGACTGCCTGATCCCCAGTAAAGTCTAAACCACTTTGCTGTGTGTCTTGTCTTATTCCCTCCTGACTCCCAGACCATCCAACCGTCACTACTGCTTCCAAGGACTGACTGTGACCCTGGCATTGGCTGGGTTCCTGGAGATTCTGGTGGCTGAAGTAAGGGGCTTGAGACTTCTTGCTCCCACTTCTGACACCTATAGAGCAGGATGCCCCACAATGTGTTCTCTAGGAAGGACACTATTTTGGGGCCTGGAACGCTCAGTATTCGATCCAGCTTGATCGGGTCCTTTCCATGGTTATGCAGAGCTATGCATCTCAGGGAGTAGAGACACAGAGGTGGTGGAAACCCAGCAGAGAGAACCATAATGCCTTTTGTCTTCCACACTGTATGGTTCTGTCACATCTGTTGGGTCTCTAGGACCCATTGCTACAGTTTTTCTCAGATGACTTCAAGGCACCCTCTCTGTGCTTGCTGCACAGCTGTCATGGAACCCTCTTTTTGTGTTTACTCTGGTTTATTCCTTCACTTTCTGGGTACCTGTGAGATACATTTCTTTAGTCCTTCCATAATATAAAATGCCTTTAGTATGGTGTTTACTTACTTACTACATTGTCTGTGTATAGAATTCTAGACATCTGATGGATTTGTTCACTCTCTTCTAGAGTTGAGCATTTCTGATGAGACGGGGATGCCAATGTGCCTACATTCTCTTGTTTTTTTGTTATTTTTTTCTTAAGTTTTTTTTTTTTTTTTTTTT